GGTGGTGACTCCACTGCTGGGAGGTCAGTTGCACAGCAGTGCCCATTCCCTATGACCACTATTGTGTGTTTCTATTTTATTTTAAACCAGTTATGTTTATATCATAACAAACTCAGACTGAATTGTTTGGCTTCTTAAGATCTAGTCACACGGCCATGTTCAGCCAGGTTCATCCTCCTTGAATTTGAATAACACCACATGTTGTGGCAGTCAATTCCATAGTTTAACTGTGCAGCATGTAAGGAAGCATTTATCCTGAATTTCCCACAATGTAGCGTCATTGGGTTACCCTGTCTTCTAGTCTTGTGAGGCCCTTCTTGATTTCCAATGTAGCTGTCTCCGGAATGTTCCATGTGCAGAGCTAACTAGAGAGGTAGAGCTGAGGAGTTTCACTCTCAGGACAGAACAGTGGTGTCAGGAGGAGGAGTTTAGATTTGTTAGCCTCTGTGGAATGCTTTGAGACAAGCTGGGTTTGTACAAGCTGGCCAATGCTCCAGTTGAGCCAAAATCGAACCAGATTGAAGAAGAAGAAGAGTTTGGATTTCATATCCCGCTTTATCACTACCCGAAGGAGTCTCAAAGCGGCTAACATTCTCCTTTCCCTTCCTCCCCCACAACAAACACTCTGTGAGGTGAGTGGGGCTGAGAGACTTCAGAGAAGTGTGACTAGCCCAAGGTCACCCAGCAGCTGCATGTGGAGGAGCGGGGAAGCGAACCCGGTTCACCAGATTACGAGTCCACTGCTCTTAACCACTACACCACACTGGTTCAACATCAAAAAGGTGACAGAGAAACATGTATACAGGTTGAACCATCTCTAGAGATTGAAAATATATCTGATCATTCAACTGGGGATGTGGTAGAACTTAGCAATAAGACTACCTGGGAAGTAAGCTCAATTGAACATAGACAGACTTATTGCTCAATAAACATGCATTCTGATTGATTGGCTGGGTTACAGCAGTACGTGGAGACTACCACATGCTCAGCCCAACCCAGCTTCCCCGCTCTCTCCTACATATGTGGAAGCCCAGGATGTTTGGGTAAATAGGAAGTCTATCAATGCTTCCTGTATCTCTTCCAAGCACTTCTTCTCACTTTAATACAGCTTAGAGACTATTGTCATTAAGCAGTATATAAATGATTGAAATAAATAAATGAACAAGTTGTTTTCTGGAGCATGAGGGGAAGACTGGATGGGGAAATGTGAGTATCCCATTCATCCCAATGGCACTTTATGCAAACTGCATGTGCATCCTTCCATCCATGTACATGGGCAAAGGAGAGGGGAAATAAGAGTTCTGTTGAGCCTACAGGAAACCTTGGCATACAGACACTGACTGAAGAGGATGTTGCCCTTGGAAAGTTAAGGGATTTTCAGGTAAGTCAAATTAGTGGTAAGCCCTCTAGAGTCAGTGCTATGTTTTGTCCATAACTAGGGAAAAGGAAATATATTAATGAAAACTAAGTGGAAAGAGTCCGCCCCACAAATCTAACCTCATTTTGCAGGGTATCCGTCGTTCTGAGCCATATTTTTTACAAAAATAGATAATGTTGAATTAGTTAATCATCATATTGCAGTGAAATGACTATGGATGCACAAATTATATGGATATTAATACTGCATTAGTTCATCATGATTAATCTTATAACAATTAATAAGCGAGTGAACAAATGATTGGCCATTTATTAGCAAAAGAAATATGTGCCGTTATATTCATTCCCTATTAAACAATTGGAGTTTAAATTTAAAAAGAAATTAACGTAAGGATGATAGGAAAAATATAATGCACTGAATATCTTTTCAATTTGTGGTCATGTAAGACCAGACTAGTATTGACACAACTGGAAACGTTAAACCAATTATCATGCATTTTGTTAACTAGACAGCATGGCTATTCGGATGGATTCAGAGTTTTTCCATTCAGTAAAAACCCTATTGCGTTTTCCAGATAGACCATATTTGAGGACTCTTATAGAGCAAATTGCAATGGTCCAAGCAGCAGGCTACCAGTGTGATCACTGGGATCGGGCTTTCATTTTTTTCAAGAATGGACATAGAGAGTAAAGCGGCTGCAGCTGGAAAAAAGGCACTCCTTGACACATGGGCTTCCAGAGACAGAGTAAAATCTCAGAGTACCCAAAGCACATGATCCTTTGGGAAGGCAACCTCAACCAGAACAGGTTGCCTTCCTAATTCCCAGACCCAGAAATCAACAATACACAGCAGCACCTCCATCTTGTCAGGATTCACCTTTGCTTTATTAGTCCTGATGCATCCCATTATTGCTCCCAGACACTGATAAAGCGCCAACATTGCTTCACCTGACTCAGATGGTATGGAGAAGCAGAGCTAAGGGTTATTCACATACTGATGACAACTTGCTCCGGATTAGCCCCACCTCTCTGTGCCTGGCCTCACTGCCCCCAACATGTTTGGTGTTGTGTAGGCTCCCCACAAAAACCACAATGAAGGATATCCGCTGTCAGGAGTGTGTGTCAGGAGCAGGTAAGCAATAAATTATATGGCATCAGTGAAATTAACTTTTTATTCAGTGAAACAAGGGTGACTCAGGAGGCCAGGCCTAGTGAGCACAGCAACTCATCCTGGTAGATCTTGCCCCTATGAAGCAGTTGTAGGGACCAAATGTCCCCACCTTCCCAGTTGTCCAAGTCTCCTCCTCTCCTGGGTTCTTCCCAAGCAATCTGAGACTGAGTCACCGTGCCTGCCTTTGCTCCTCTCATTTCATGCCTCTCCGGGTTCTGGGAGACCAAGGTGGAGGGAAGCTTGTTGCAGCAGCAGCAGGAGACCCCCTGGCCTCTTCACCAGCCTGACTTATCTCTGCCTCTAGCCCCCTCCCTCTCCAACCTCCACTTCTGCCTCTAGTTCTGGACTTCTCTCTGCCATAGACTGTCTCCACTCAACAAGCCCTGTTACCTCTTCTGCTTCTGACACCTTCTCCTCCCAGTCTTCTCCCTCTGACCACTCATCGTCCCACCACCAATCCCCAGGCTCTGAGCCTTCTTCCCCTGGTGATCCCGAGGGGTTTCCCCTGCTAGCACTCCCCCACTCCTCAGAATCCAGCCAGTCTGTGGTTGCTGCTATTCTGCTATTTTCTTTATTTCTTTTTTTTTTAAGCGTGGGACACATAAGCATTTGGCAAATATATAACAAATCGCATGTATCAGGCAGCTTCACCAAAGCAAATCAACAGAAAATATTTTTTCTTATAGTTGACACTATTATTATTATTATTATTATTATTATTATTATTCCAACATAATAAAACTGTAGCAAAATATCAAACATTAAACTGTCCCGATACAGGGTTGCTTGGATTATTTATTAAAATTCTATACCACCTTTCATCTGAAGATCACAGGGCAGTGTGCAATATAAAAGCACAAAAATACACAACATAGTAACAAACAAAAGCAATAACCATCCTCACAGTTTGAAAGGCCATAGATTGTTCTTCTCCCAGGCCTTTGTGATTAAACAATGTTTTTGTGTGGTGCCTAAAGATATGTAATGAAGGTTCCAGGTGAGCCTCCCTGGAGAGAGCGTTCCACAAACAGGGGGCCACTGCAGAAAAGGCCCGTTCTTGTGTTGCCATACTCTTGGCCTCTCACAGAGGAGGCATATCAAGAATGGCCTCAGATGATGATCGCAGGGTCCACGTTGGTTAACATGGGGCCAGGTGGTCCACGAGGACTTGATAGGCATGCCTAATATCTGTTCCATTTTCCTGATTAATAAAGTCACTTTTCTGTAGCAGAAAAGTTGTAACACTAAATCAGCTAAAATAAGGGCACTAAACTGCCTTTGCCCATTCCGTATCTGAAACCTACCTTTGGGTTTTTAATTTGACTTCACAGATTGTCTTCTGATGTGTCCCTGTGGCTTATGTGCAATTGACTAACATGCTAATTGTGTGACATTAGCGAGGAGTTCTATGCCTGCCTGGCTGCGACGATGATTGTTGACTTCATCAACTTCCCCCTAGGAAACTCATCTTAACGTCTCACCCCCTTTTCTGCTAAGACAACAAGAAAAGTCGTTGATCTTTTAAAAAATGCAACACACTCCTAAGAGCTTTGAAAACTTTGATATGATCCTTTGAATTCAGTGTTGTTAGGTTTGGAAAAGGGTCACTAAAATTAGAGCTGTAAAAGCTAGAGATATTTGTTACTTTTCTCTTTATTCAAAAAGAAAGGACCAAGCTTCATTTGATACACACCAGAGATCCATGATTGGAGATCCCAGTCTCCTCCCCCCCCTTTAATGAAAAACATCCAAGCTGGCTATTTTATCAGGTGGGTGGCACTGTGTGGAGGACGTGTTTCTACCACTTTGTTTTCCTGATTGAAGCTTTCTCTCAAAGCTACTATTATTTTCGCCGGGGTGGGGGCAGGGCATGTGCAACACTATGGTAAATTTCCATTTGGTGAATAATCACCTTATGATCAATGACTATAACTAAGAACCTAGCAAGCTGCCTTATATCATTTCAGACTATTTGTCAAAAATTTACTGACAGCAGCTGTCTAGGGTTAGAGGGTGTGGTCTTTCACACCACTTGTTATCGGACCTGGTCCCTGATCCTTTTTTAACTGGGGCTACCAAGAATTGAACAGGACGTGGGTGGCGCTGTGGGTTAAACCACAGAGCCTAGGGCTTGCCAATCAGAAGGTCGGTGGTTTGAATCCCCGCAACAGGGTGAGCTCCCATTGCTCGGTCCCTGCTCCCACCAACCTAGCAGTTCGAAAGCATGTCAAAGGGCAAGTAGATAAAGAGGTACCGCTCCGGCAGGAAGGTAAATGGCGTTTCCATGCACTGCTCTGGTTCGCCAGAAGAGGCTTAGTCATGCTGGCCACATGACCCAGAAAAACTGTCTGTGGACAAACATCGGCTCTCTTGGCCAATAAAGAAGGATAAGTGCCGCAACCCCAGAGTCGTTCGCAACTGGACCTAATGGTCAGGGGTCCCTTTACCTTTACCTTTTTACCAATAATTGAACTTGGGGCCTTCTGTGTACACTGGCAGGTGCTTTACCACTGAGCTATGGTGCCTCCCCAAGTTGAGTTCGCCATTTTCTTTAATGTATGATGAAAGGCTCCACTAAACTCCTAAGCATAGCTACTTGGAAATAAGTTCCATAACAAAACAATTAGGTTTTCCTTTCCTTTCCTTTGATTATATTCTGATTTAATTTTTCTTGCTGAGATGGAGAGCTTGGAAGCCTTCGCTGAGTTCTTGCTAAGCTTAACTTCAATGTTTACAATCAGCTGGAAGCTGCTCCATTTGGGTTGCTGCCCCACCAGGCTCAGTCTGCCCTCACCTGTCTGCCTCCTTCCTTACAACCAACCCAGGAAGTGACTCTGTCTGGAAGTGGCTCTAGCTCCACCTACTGTTGGTCCTCCTTCCTTTTGCCCTACCAGTCCTGATGAGTACCAGCCGCCACAGCCAACAACACAATTTCAGAAACTTGAGACAAGTAATAAATTCTTTATTTTAGCTTTTCAATAATAATGACCAGAGAAAAACAGCAAAAGCAGCAACAAGAATAATAATGCCATAGATGAGATTTAGAAGATTTGGAAGAGAAGAGCAGCCTTCTTATGGGTAGTTTGTCACGAAAAGGTAGATCTGATGGTTGGGAATGCTTTGTGAGACAGGCAACAAAATTGTGATAATTCTTCCCACCCTCCTTTCCTTCAGACAGAAACAGTTTGATATTTTATTCATTTCCTAAACCTTGCAAGATGCTGTGCGATGTGTTTTTCAACTTTTTGAAAGCTACATTAATCCTAAATAAATATATCTCGGATCCGACATTCTCTTTCAAAGATAACTTCTAGAAACACAAGGAGCAAAATTCTCTACTGATATAGCTAAGCGGAATTCAAATATAGCTGTAGGCTGATACAACAAAAAACAAAAAAACACACCTCACACTGTTTTTGAAGATCAAAGAACAGAGTTCCACGTTATTGAGTATCAGGTGGGGTGTCCAGGGCTTGCAACTAAAAATGCATTTGTAATTGTCTTTTGTCTTTATTTTCCAATTCGTTTTTAGGGGCTTTAAAGATCTGTTGTAACAGGACTCTTGTTACATTTAATAAGTGCCATGTTGATTGGCGTCCTCTAAGTAGGCTTTTCAGTTTGCCTGTGGGGAAATTTAATATAAAAACATTCAACATTCTTTTATTAGTGTTTTTTACTATTCCCAGTCCCATCAGACCTTTGGTGCAAGCAGTGTATTATTGAAAAGCTTATCTGTAAGAAGTGAGCCAAGGGGAAATTCAGGCTTTATTAATATTGACATCATGTTCCTGTACAATGGCTGTCTAAAGAAACTTTTCAATTGGATTTCACCCTGCTTTGATGCTGCGCAAATGGAAACAACCAAATGCATGATTTAACATAGTAGAACAGTAGTCTGTATGCTACATGCTCACTTTTAAAGTAGGATGTATATGAGGAATATATACAACAAGATTTCTAGTTCAGTTTCAGGGAACAAAATATAGAGATCGTTTAGCGATTCTTAAAAATTGATAATATTTAAGAATAATTTTTATCATTTTGTCAGAGAAGTGATTCATTTGCGTGTTCAGACCCAGAGACCTCCCTCCTAAATAAAGACACATTTGACTCAAATTTTAGTTTTGGTTTTTGGCAGAATTTAGGCCACAACTTTATTGATTACAGAAAAGTGAGTGGTTGCATAGGCTCTAGTTTGACTAGCTCCCTGCACTCTTGCAGGTAGCGCTGACCCAGAGCTCTATCATAGGTCAGCCAAGGGTCAACACCTGAGGCAGGTGAAAAGCCTGGGAACAGACTCTGTTCACTCCCCAGATACTCCCCTGGACTCAGGCAGGGGCACAACCCCTTTGCGGGGGTTGGCCAAACCAAGTTGAGCCCCTGCATTCCTTTAACGGACTACCCTTCACATAGGGATGGCGAGACCGTTCGCCCATCCCTATCACCTGAACCAGAGCCTATCCACAACCTTACAAGTTGTGACGATTTGCTATGTGGCAGGCAAAACCCAAATGGCAACAGCCAATCAGCCAAGTGGGAAAATTCCTGCCGTGCCCCTGTCCCAAAGACAGACAACACATGACAGCATAGCAAGGTCAATCGCAAAAGGCCCTAAAATTAGGGAGAGGTAGGCGGGGGGTCTGATGCACGAGCTGAAAGTGGAAGCTCTGGGCCACGTGCATGGGTTTATATAGGTCCCTCGATCCGTTTAGACTGCAACCCCATTGGCCAGATTGACACCCAGCATTGAGGGACCTACCAATCAGATGTTGTGGCTATCCAATGGACCCACCCACAACCAAGAGGTCAGTCTCCAGATCTCACCACAACACATGCCCTCTTTTAGGGAGGACACGATTTATTAATTTATGAAGCTGTTTCATTTACTTTCTCTTGCTCTCCTTCAGTTGTGGCCTAGGAAACAAAGATGGCTTGTGAGCTTTGACACTGATAATATGATCTTGGGCCTGACATAAAAAGTGGTTAAAATGGCCCGTTACAATACACATAAATACACATAAACAATACACACAATACACATAAACTATGAATGGTTCTCTAGGAAGTTTGAATGTGCCCCCTAGGAGATTTTCAGTGGTATTCAACTACATCTTGCATCAGAGTAGACCCACTGAAACTAATGAACCTAGCTTAGCCGCATTCATTCACTTCAGTGGGTCTACTCTGATGAAAACTGGGTTGAATACCACCTATTATTCTTAGTGACTTTCTAGCCTCAGTCAAAATACTGTTTCCTGGTCTATAACACTGGCTTAAATTTATTTGCACTTTCAGCCCAATAGCCCTTTACTGCAACATAACTGGATGACTTTGTTTGCTTAGTTGTCTTAAAACCATCCTTGGTGAGAATGTACATGTTAAATAATTTGCCTTGGAACGTAAAATGTGCAAAAACAAACGTTATTGTCAGGTCTGGGATAACAGGATCTGGAACACAAGTTGTATTAAAAAGATTTTTTTTTTAAAAAAACAAACTATTGCAGTTTATTATGTTCATGAGTCTCCAGCCAGTGTAATGAAAGCTTAATGGAAGGTCTAAGAGGAGCAACAAACAAAAAGAAGAGGGCAGCAAGAAATAACAATAAAAAATTATTAGTTCAGTTTCAAGCTGGCCTTGAGAAGTCACAAGGTCTTTGTTGACAGATCTCCTTTATGCTAGACAGTGCAATATGCTGGGTATGGAAACTGTCATGGGGAAGCTTCAGTCAGTAGAGATGAGGGAGGTGAAGGCAGCTGTAATGATAACATTAGCAGGGAGCTTTTAAGAGAAGGGAAAGTCAGCACTCTTGAGTGGCAAACCCAACTGTATTATTACTTGAGCAGGGCATCGCTAAACACCTACCAGATTTCTCTCGTTACCCTTTTGGGCCATTGTGGCAAAACGAATGATGCCTCTGATTAGAGCAGGAAGCATAAATTCCACAACGTACATATATCATGTTGATATTTTGCAAATTCCCTTGGGCTGTGATCTCAATTTCAGCAGATGACACACCATTCCAAAGAGTCTCCCCGCTGCTGTAGGCCACCTTTTGTCTATACGTGCATCACGTAGGAGATTACTGCCCACCATGGATGCCCATTTAAGATGCCATTTATACACTCACGTTTTGCTTACACTGGTGTCCATTAAAGTGCTTTACACTCAAGACCATTCCAGGAATGCTGACCAGGATTAAATGCACTATAAGTGATATGAAGTTTCCTTCCTTCCTTCCTTTTACTGCCCTTGAGTGAATAAACATAATGAATTTTTGCTTCCATGGTGTGGATTTAGTAGGGATGCCCTTCAAGTAAACCCAACATTCAGTGAAGCCTTGTTTACATATTTCTCTGCAAGACTGTCATATACCGTATTTTTTGCTCCATAAGACGCACCTAGTTTTTAGAGCAGGAAAACAAGAAAAAAAATTCTGAATCAAATGTTGTACTAAACTATTTAAAACAGCAAAGCGGGCGGCTCCTGTCCACTTTGCTGCTTTAAAGTGAGCCACGGTATATAATGAAGAGAATGGAAAAAGGATAGACATTGCGTTACAATGTAGCTGTTTTCATTATCACTGGGAAGTCAGTATTGGCAGCGGTCACATAAACTAAAATTTGAGCATTTTACTGTTATTAATCAAGAATGGTAATAGTCAGGGAGAGAAACCAGGGCTGTGCAAATGAGAAGTGCTTGGAGTATGGAGGAACAGCAAAGAGATCAAATGATTGTGCTCCAGTTCCTAAATCTGTGAAGTTTTCTCAAAACAGGCATGGTTGTTTTGAAAGGAAGATTCAAAGAGTGGGAAATGGAGTGATTGAACAAAGAACAGAGGAGGAAAAGAGGGCTGATAAATAGCTTCCATTCAATGCCAAGAGAACACAATGTTTTTGGTTTGGTATAGGTGGACTGTACTTGTAAGAATTTGTATAATGAATTATAGATTTGGAGTGGAATATCAGTGCCTCTTTTCAGCAATAAAGATTAGCTGCGAGGAACATGGTCCACACACAAACACACAGGATGTCCGGTTATGGTTGTGCAGTTTAAACTGTTATTGGGCCAGATGCCTGCTCGGTTTTAGCTGAGCTCACTATTACTGATTTGTGGAGATTCTTTGCATGTATTTATGACTAGTTCTGCAAAACTGCTACTTGAAGAAATCCCCAAACTTAATATTTTTAAACTTCAAATGGAGCTCAGAATCCAGTTAGGCAATCAAGCATTTGCAGTTGAATTAGGAGGGACTGAGAGATGGTAAATTTGCTTTAAAGCAGCAAAGCTGGACAGGAGCATGGCTCCCCCCCCCCCCCAAAGAGCATCCCAGGAGCGCGGGGCAATGGCGCACAGCCTGCCTGCTGCTCCAAAACTTCCCGGGGCTTCAGGGGAAAGAGGAGGCTGCCGGCAGAGCAGCGTGGCTCCACCCCCCACCCCCAAATAGCAGCCTAGGAGTGTGCCACACTTGGGCGATTTGGCTCCAGGGACCACACATTCGCTCCATAAGACGCACAGACACC